GGGCGGTTCCCTGGATCATGGAACTCGAGAACGTGTTTCAAATCCTATAGGAATATTATAAAATCCCTATTTCAAGAAAAATTTGAACATTTCCTTGAGATTATGAATCGAACTGCTAAATAAACTAAACAACCGGCTAATATTACAAAAAAAAAATTGCATTCAACATGTTAACACGGTGGTCAAGTGGTCGGGGATCCAGTGAAGGAGATCCGTGGTACGCAAGTTCAAATCTCGGTGAAGGAAGATTCTTCTTTTCCCTTTGTTCTGTAATCTCACACAATTTTTAAATATTTTTTTATAGAATGGTAAATAATGGTAGAGTTCAATTTGTTCTAATTCCTTTTTACGTACAAATAGAATAAGGATTACGATCTCGGATCGCACATAGGCCCGGGTAAAATGTCAGTTATCTATATTGTGAAGTACTTGCCTCATATTTTAAAAGGTCATTTAGACGTGTTTATAAAGATTCATGATTTAATGTAACTGATCGGCAATGGAAATACGATTCTCGGTGTTTTTTTTTTTTCCGTTTGTTTCATAAACTCGCATGGTTATCAAGTATTGTTTATAGAATGGGAGAGTTTATTTTATCATCATTCCTTTTTATGTATATAAATTATAAGGCTCTCCTGTTACGATCTCGGATCGCACATAGGCCCGCGTAAAATATTGGTTACCTATCAAGGGAAACACGTGTCAAGTTTTATCAACATGTTTATACATATTCGTAAAAAAAATGTTTTAATGCATAGAAACGAGCAGTTCTCTTTGATTTTCAATTTTTCTTTAATTTCGGGATCATCATAGAATGTATTTAGTCCACAATTTACGTTGGACTACTAGGTAGTTGAAAAATACTGATGTGTATATCGTTCATGGTGCACTAAATCGATACTTGATTTGCCGAGTGGGTCCTAAAATACATGCATTAAAAACATGTACTGTTATTCATTAATTTTATTTTTTGTCACCATAATTGAATGATATATCTTCTTAAATTCTTCTCGTCACAGTTAATGGGTTATATAATTTATCGTGTAAATCTTAGGCTTTTATATCCTTCAACTCAAGACCGTTGTAAAAATGCTATCAATGTATATGTCGTATCGATCAAATGAGATTTTTTTGCACAAAGGTAATATTACTGTATAAAAAACGAGAAAATTTATTTTCTGATAATACTGCAGAATGCGCGATTTATATAACGCACTGATCTTCTTATGAACATCGCGTCCCCGTATTTCGATCGATTTTTCATGTCCTTGTAGGTCTTACGTTATATTCCTTCTATGTATTTTTCATGTTCTTTGCTTTATTCGAACCCGCTCACTTGTGAATATCTATGTATGTTATATTTCCCAAATGCATCACCTAATATATAATGAAAATAATAGCTTCCATGTTTTTATTTTGGTTGTTTTCGAACGTCCTTGTAGTGAAGTGTATATCTATTGACTGTCTTTGTAGTGTCGAGTACAGTAATGTATTGTCCCTGTACAAACGCTTTTATTATTTAATGCTCTTTTTTAAATGAAAAACCAAAAAATTCTTCTCAAGAATATTCAGGATGGGAAAATGTTCTATTATCATCTGAAATTTATCCAGAACACAAAAAATAGGCTTTTACGGTCATTTAATCTTTAAAAATGTCACGTCCTGGAAATGTAGACTCAGTAATAATTTAGATATACATTGTACAATTTTTTAGTCAGACAAAGAAATGATGGATTTCTGAGAATATTGGTTCCTATTCTGTCGTTTAGTAATAAAAATGCGACATCCTTTTTCAAGTCCCGGAAAGGCACGATTCGTGTACATATATATATATTGTGACGTGTCGGAGATACTCGACGCGACATCAATGGCAGATAAGTCAAATCTTGTCACCGCGAGGAATAGTAAACGCGATACCTAGTTCGCGGGGGATATAGAAACAACCACTTGCTCGGCGCGTTAAGAGCGAGCCTCGCGCGCCCACAACACGGGCAAAGTCACGAGGTCGCGAGATGAAACATCGCGATCAAATTGAATCTAACTTCGACATGAGTCACCCCGATTGGAGGAAGTGACCACGGCCTGGACCCCGGCGAATCAAAGGGCGAGGAATTACGAATTCGTCTATGGGTAACCATCGTGTCCAATAAGCACGCCAAAGAACGCAGGCCAGAGTGGGAACCCGATGATATAGTAATAAAGACCATAGATTCCGCGGGTATAAAATGCGTGGATTTTCTCTAATGGAAGTCCTTTCTGATCGTTCTATACCGATCGAAGGAGCCTCTGGACGTGGTAGCATAGCGCTACTCGTCCAAGAAAATATCCTCAAATTGCGACACGCTTGCTAAGCGTGACAGTATTGCACCGATCCCCCTGGCAAGCGGATTAAAAGCTCGAGGAGACGAGGCAATAGGTGCCGGTCCTCACCAGCTGAAAATCTTGCCCTTAGTAGGCACATGGAACTGAGCACTCAGGGAAACACCGACGAAGCGTCCGGTTGGTATCCTCGGAACACCTGCGAACGGCGGACCATTTGACGGATTCCCCTTTCGGGAATTTTCGTCAAACAGAAATTTTGGCGATACAACTCGCTTACCATGAGAAGCGTGACGGCATAGAGCCGTTCCCTTTCCACGCGGTAGCGAGACAGTCCGTGGCCGGTCTCGCGCTCTCACGTCTGCTCCCTCAGCGTGACGTCATCGTGAAGTTCTCCGGGTGTATAGCCGCTTGAGCCGAACCCGGACAGTGGAAAAACATAAAACGAGGACAACGACGTCGGACTCTTGCACCTACCCCTCGGCGTGACGTCATTGCGACGTTCCATGAGTATCTGGCCGCTCGAGACGACTCGCATCCTCCTTCTCAGGCCCAAAGACGGTCTTGCATTCCTGCACCTACTCCTCGGCGTGACGTCATCACGACGTTCTCCGGGTGTTTGACCGCACGGGCAATTCTGTGCCTGACGAAGGAAAACCGGAACCGCGTATACCAGAGACGGACTCGTAACCCCCGTCTAAGCCCCCGGCGTGACGTCATTGCGACGTTCCCCGGGTGACTACAGGTGCAGGGCGACCCAGTCTCTCGGTGCAATGTTCTTCCACACTTACACCCCGAGGGCGTGACGGCATGGCGCCGTTCCCCCTTTGTTAAAGGGTCACGAAAACACATTGCACAAGGTGTGACCGTGGAGCCCACCCACACCAAATCTCAAATAGCATAACGATATCAAAGAACAAAAAGATTCAATTGAAAACCATACTTGACGCAACAGATAGACACACGGAAACCCTTAATAATTTCGAGTCCACTACCGAATCATCCTCAGACGACAGATACACTCAATCTCTGCATTCACTTTTACACGGCTTTCGTTGTTGAAATATGCTTAGAGGCTGAGGCTCTGCCCCATTGAAAGCCCTATCTAGTCTGAGATTGCCAAAAGGAAATCCAGGGTAAGCCAAAACGGCAGATAAAACAACTCCTCGCGACCGCCCGAGTGCGCGACAAGTTCGCATCCACCCCTATCTTGCCGTTCTGCCGTGAACTAATAACATAATAACGTTAACATTTATTAGTCCTTCGAGCCGGATCAGCACATACATGACATATACATTGTTAACACCCGCGAATTAACTGATCGCAAAATTCTTGGCGGTGTACGAAAGTCCGCACGAAATTAAAAAATCGATTGGTCCAGCAACTTTTATTCTTATAAATCTGGAAACCCAGAAGGAGCGAATAAAAATTAGAAATAAAAGCGATTTGATAAATAGTAATGTGTAAGAGACTCAATGCAATCAGAAACTGATTTTGCGAAACCCCCTTCCCCACGAGTTAAATAGGCAAATGAAGTTAAAGTTTCCTGCGAGAAACTTTAAAATCCTTCGGGGAAACAGTTGTAAAACGGGTCCAACGTTGAACGTGAGCCCCTGTACTCTTAATATTATTTCAGCGCAACTCGTGCATGTGCGACGGTACTTGAGAGAGAGTAGGGAGGCTTTTAGAGAGGGAACCGCGAACGCGAACGCGAGCGCGGAGCAACGCGAGATGGCACTTGCATTCTGGCTTCGAAGAGTAGACCACGATATTGTGAGGAGACGCCACATAGGTAACTACTTAAACGTTCGTTCCGGTGTGGGTTCTGATTCCTCGGGGTTGAGAATGGCTCCTCAACTCTCGAGCTCCAATTCGGAACACCGAAACGGAACGGATGATTTTTACATGTTGAGTTTCAGGACCTAACAACTAGTGGGCCTTGCAAAGTCGCCTTACCATACTCTAATTGTTCCTATCCCTCAAAATTATTTCCCACCAATTCCCTTGCGGCTCTGTATTCTGACAAACTCCGATCACCTTTACCGCATATAAACCCTATACCAGTTAATATCCGCGATTGGATAATTTAGTATAAGTCATACTAAACCCCGTAGAGCCTAGCTCCGGGAAGAAATATGGTTTTGCGGCAAAATATAGTTCGCGGACCCATTCTCAGAAATGGTTCGTTAAAAACAAATCATACTTTAAGTTAGGCTGATCAGCCATCCCAATTTCGGCTAAGGTTCTCCAATTCGAATTTCATTAAAGGTACTCTGACTTAATCCTACTAGCTACTGCTAGCCTTCCATTCCAAAACAATTACAGAGGGAAATCGGGAAAGTCGTGTCTAACGGCACGATACAAACTCTAAAATGCTTGAATGTTTATATATGTGATAAGGAAGACGCATGGAGACCACAATATACTATCAAACCGCGAATAAGCTCTACTATTCAAACCCTTGTCAATCTTGCACTAACGTTGAGCTAATTCTAGTTCTGAACTAGAGTAAATATCACACCAATTGATTATTTTTGTAAGAGTATTCAACCCCTACGGCAATTTAACATTTACTCCAGTCGTTAACAAGTTTAAACTCCATTAACGTAAAGAAAATGATAATAACAAAGTAATCAGAATAATGTTTTGTCATCAGGTATATTCTGCGGCGGTTACCACTATAGTTTAAAGATGTACACCTATGAAAGAGTTCGTGCCCGAAATTTCGCTAGAACCTGGGGATTTGTTCAATGTTCGCAGGCTATACCAATCGCTATTGGTGTTCCGATATCAGGTAAACGACCTCAAAACAGGTAAACTTTCGAATGTTCTCTTGCGATTTTTTGTATCCTGATTAAATTCATTCTTGTTTAATTGTAATTGAATCTAACGAAACGTTTAGTTAAGCCACGCACGAAAGCATTTTTGACCTTATGCGTATGCTTATTGTAATGAAGTACATCAGTATTTACACTCATATTGGCATGTTGTAGCAAATTGTTCCCTTTTCATTTTTCGAAATGTATGATACATTCTAGAGGGTATAAAAAGCGATTCACATTTGCCTGTTATACGCAGCAATTTTTATGAGTTATTTAAATATTTCATTTTTGTTTTCCTTAGTATGTGCCACATTAATTGTACGAAAAATAAGTTATTATTTAGGAGCTTCGTAAAGAAATAGTTTCCGTAAATAAAGGTACAACTAAGATATATAACGTGATTAATAAATCTATCAGAAATTATCTATGTTGGAAGATTATTTTTTGATAGGCCATTTGTGAAATTAACATCGTTGATTAATTCCATTTAATATGGCTCAGGGTACATGAACGTTGGTTGTGGTGGAAAGGCCGGCTACTACTTCAGCTCAACGTGTGTTCTGGTTGGCAGCTTCACCCTGTTCTTCATTGATCTTCATCGAAGGAATCTCTCTAGACATAAACATACCAGAGCGAATGGGACCAAACATCTGTGCTTATCGGATACTTGTCCTCAAAGAAGGAGATTTTCTTTTAGTCAAGAACCTGAAAACGAAGGAGTAGCTGCTGGAGCTACTGCAGCGGCTCTGGTGCTAGGTGCTGAGCTTGCACCTGGGTCAGGTAATCGAGGTAACAGTTTGTATTGAATTATTCATTCATTTGTTTAATGACCAATTTGTGGGGGAAGAACTCAAAATTAAGGGATTCTTATAAGGAAACAGATGAGGCGAATAGATTGTTATGCCTCTTTCAACAATTATGGGAATTTTCTGACCCAACCACCTACATAATCGACATCGTTGATAGCCACATTTTTATATTGTGCTTATGGAGATGTGGCGGTCAACTGCTTTACATATTGTCGCATGTGGATAATGTGGACTATTTTCTGATTTATATTTGGAACTAAGTTTCATCCGGTAAGGACCACTGTCTCTTACCTGTATTCAGAGATCGGCAAAAGGGTAATATTTAATTAAAGGCTATCTTTTATTACTGAAGTAATCGTGTAATTACGATTTAAAATGTTGTATTAGTCAATTAATCTGTATTCTAAATGAAGAGTTGTTTGATTACTCGATTTATCAGGAAACAGAAGGAGACATTTTCTGACTACTCGGTTAATCAGCAATTAAAATGAAAAATTGCTTGATTACTCGATTAATCAGAAATAGAATAATCACGATTCACATTTTTATCGATTATTCAATTAATCTGTAATCGGCATTTAACATTTTGTAGTAATTGCTCAGTAGGTAATGAAATACAATTTTTTAAAATATACTATCAGTCAGTAATCAATATTGCAATCTGGACACCGCATTTAGTACAATATCCGCATAAGAGATGTATTGTGATGTGTCATTTTGGCGCACCCGTCACAAGGCCGATATTTTGCTATCTTCGATTATTTTGAGTGGCTGGTTCGGTGGTCGGACCCCGTGCCGATGGGAGAGGCTGTCTGTATTTTGAGGAGTATTTAGTCATTGTTTTTCAGCCGTTGTTATTGTAGTAACTAGATATTTAGCGCTAATCCATAAGTTATTTGTACCATTAGTTTTGTAAGACGTTCAGCGGGGTCTGCCAGAACGCGTCTGGTATACCGTAAAGTAGCAAAGTCGGCAGGGAGTTCTTGATAGGGCAGCATGGACGTTTTCCTCGGCTGTTTAGGATCTGCTTCAAAACGTGAAACGGACGTGCGTTTTGGAAACGATGTACGGTATCCGACCAGCCGGGATACAGAAGTTTCGAGCCGAACTGAAGCGAAAAGGTTCGGCAGTTCCAAATTGACGACGACGACGACGATTACGACGGGCATAAGCCATATAAGACGGGAACTCCTTAAAGACGCCGTGTATTCAGTCAGTTTTATTTGTTAATAAACGTTATTTTACCTGTTACCGTTCGAAAAAGACTTACGACACTATCACTCCTTCGCGATTCTAATATCCTTACATTATTTTACGTTTTCCATTATTATTATTGCGATTTAGGTTAGCTATCTTTTGCGTTCTAATGGTCAATGTTTGGTTATAAATTTGTTGCGAGTTTGACTGTCTCTTAGAAATTTTAGAGAAAAGGCGACATCGTATATTGCATTTTGTTTCGAGTTTTATTTAGTCATTGTGTAGCATAGTTGCGTTGATAGGTTCAAGCTGACGGGGAATCGACGATCGAAATGTAGACAGCGGAGCGGTGAAGAAGACGAATTTGTGGAAGAGGAACCACAATGAGCCAGAGGGATGGAGCCACGCGACGCTGGGGGGGGGGGGGTATACGGAATCCACGAGGTGTTGTAGGACCAAATACGCTCCCTTGGGGTCCTCCACTCTCCAGCCCAGGGCTGGACCCTCAATCTGAGCAGAAGAGCGGAATTCCGCATCTGGTGCATGCCGGACCCCACGTTAGGCGCGGAGGGAGGTGCGTGGAAGAAATATGGGCGCATTGCTGCGCCCTGTCGACTGAGGATGGCCGGGGGCGGCGAGGGAGAGGCCTCAGCGACCTCACCTCGCAGGGGTAAGAATTCCTCCCGCGACGATGGACTAACCGAATTCTCCACCTGGGACGACAGGCTTGGATGCGGCCGTGCAGGGACACCCTGGAGGGGAGAATATTTTTCAGACCTGCTGCCTTCACCCGAAGATACGGTCCTGGAGGACCACGACCGCGCGGACAACGGTAATGCTCGGCGCATTGGAATTTGCCGGCGCCGAGTAAAGCGCCCGCATTTGAGAAAGATCGAGAAGTTGAGCGAATCAGCCACCGAAATCCGCTTTGGGCAAGGTGGAAGGGGAATTTCGGATCCAAGGAGCTCGAGGACCTAAGGGGCTCGCTCTCTTTGACCCGGACCACCGAGTTGTCTAGACGTGTATAGTAATTTTGGCTGCTTAAGTTGTGGTTTCTAAGGACTCGTGTCAAAGCTATCTGAGAGGAAGTGGTCAACGAAAACGATGAGGGAGGCCGTCAACATCGTTCCCGTGCAAGATTTGGATTCTAACAAGGATTTAGTTATCTTTTCCGGTTTAGCTTTGCAGATTAAATATTGTAAATATCCGAATTAAGGCGGCGAGGCAAATCGAGCCGAACCGTAGCGTGTCTCCGAGTAGAATTCTTAAGTAGAATTCTTGAATCCGTGTTGAGTGGACTTTTTGGGTGAATTTTGATCGAATTCTTTATAGTGCTATCTTTGAACAAATTTTTGAGTGGAATCCTTATGCGACTTTTGCGGAATTATTCGTCGGGAATTTGGTAGCTATCTGGAGTATCTTGTGTGAATCTCGGCTGAGAGTAGGGCTATCTGGAGCGCCAGGGCATCGAGTAGAACGCGAAGCTACCTAATACCTCCTGGGAATATTTCATTTAAGTAATCGCAGTTTAGTTGAGATTTCAGACAGTGCGTGTTTTGTTGTATTGTCACCGAAAGCTGTATTTAAAGTTTTAGGAAATTTTTAGAGTCGTGTTAAGCTGTCAAGAAGATCGTTTGTACCTTTCCCACACGGGGTTCGCAGTTGAAAAGCCACGTCGGCCGATGCGTCCGGTATGCCCACGTGCTCCGTGCGGGAAACTACCTCCAGTAAACTACAATCGTTACGGCGTCGTGCTATCTTGCCGTTAGTTTGGTTGGATCGATTAGAAATTATTGCGCGTTCCGTGTAATGTCGGGCTTTCTTTGGTATTAATCGGCTAACTCTGGTTATCTTGGTTATTTTGTGTTTCGGTTAATTTAGAATCCGTTTGAGTTACTTCGGTAAATTTGGGTGAGATCGTTATTTTCGCTAAAATCTGAATTTTTTTATCGCGTATGGTTTTTTTTACTATCGGCCAATTAGTGTAATTTCATTTTGTTATTGTCGGGTTCCTAATCATGCAACTTTCATTTATTGATTTTGTTATAACTTGTTCAGTCTGGACAATATATGCTACCTTAGTTGTCTTCTAATAGTTTAGTTTTCTGTCTTTTTCTCGATCCCTCTTAAATCCGGCGTTTAGAAAGAACCCCCCTCTCTCCGCGGTCATTAACGACTTATCTGGGCTAGTTGAGGGCATTTTGTGAGATTAGAGTCGAGGCCGAGATTGCCGGGGTCAAACCGGACTCTAACCTACTCAAAACGCAAAATAACAACCGATTCGATCACCAAAGACAGCGGCGCGATTAACAGACAAAAGAGATGTGACAAGTCTGGGAATTGGGCAAAAGAAAGGAATGCTCGAATTTATTTTAGGAAAAGGAAAGGAGTTTCGCAAGAGGAAGGGGAGCCGCAAAAAAGCTCCGCGCCTTCCTTCGCGATTAAAGATAAGGAAAGGAAGGAGTGGTGAGAGGAATGGGAACCACACAAAAGCTCCGCGCCTTCCTTCACGATTTGAAATAAGGAAAGGAAGGAGTAGTGAGAGGAACGGAAGCCACACAAAAGCACGGCGCCTTCCTTCACGATTAAAAAAAGAAGGATTGAAATTTCGTGAGAGGAAGGGGAGCCACACAAAGGCTCCGCGCCTTCCTCTGCGATTGAGGAGGAGAATAAGGAAAAGCAGAGATAGGAATTTTGTGGGCCCCTCACCAAGTCCTACGCGAACTTATCGTTATTGGGATAAGGAAGAAAGAACAAAAGAAATGGGATTTCGTTTTACTAGGTTTATTAAAAAAGGGGTTTGGGGAATTCACAGATGTGTGTGTGCTTGTGTGTGTATGACCGTGTGTGTGCGCATATTAAATACCTTGGAAGTCTTCCTTGGGAAGCTAGATCTTCGAAGAAACGATTAAAGATAAGGCGGCGAAATGGACTAACTCGTAGTCGTAGTCGAAATTCAAGTTGAAGAAGAAATCGCTCAAGTGATGAGTTGAAAGAGAGATTGAAATCGTTCAAGCACAAGTAAAAGTAGACCGAATGACAAGTGACAAAATGTGCAAGAAGTCCAAATGACAAGTTGAAAACAAGTAACGCTCGCTGCTTAAACGCTGGCTTTTATACAGTTTACACCCCCGACGCTTGAGGCCCAAAATTCGGGTAAGGGTAGAAGTCAAATTCCTATTGGTAAGTTTTAAGATGGTGGGAGTTGGAAAAATTGTTAAATGGGTAAGAGTGGGATTTGGAAGGTTCTAATTGGAAGAGGAGTTGGAAAAAATGGGACTTCGGGGTCGAGTGGGATTTTGGGAGTTTTGGTTGGAGGGTTTGGCTTGGAGTAGGGAAATTTGGGAAAAATGTTGTTAGGAGAGGGAGTTTGACGTTTTCTTTTTTCTAGGAAGATTAAATATTTAGGATTTGAACTGAATTTATGGCCTCGCACGTGCAAGGGTGGTGTCGGCTGTCGCGGGGGTCCCGTTTCCCTATCTTGTACTTTTCGAGACTTAAAGTACCGGGACCCCGCTGTCTTACTCACTATTTCTCAGGGTCGGCGGGTCGCGGGACTGAAACTGGGTGGCCCTTGGCTATTTGGGTTTAAGAAAAAATGACATCTTTATGAGTTCACTAGAGTGGCCTGGGCCTACCGGTCTCAGCCCGATGCGCGAGCCGATGTACGTGCAGGATTTATATATATTTTAATGGAAATATACGTAAATATATATATTTTTATTTATTTATTTATTGTTGCACGCGCAGGAAGCGTTACGCGGGACGTAATAGATGACGTCT